ATCTATTATTGGCTGGTAGTTCTTCTTTCACCCTGTACTTAAGCTTTTTAAAGGAACACCAAATTTGTGTAAGAAATCTGACTTCAAGGGGGTAATGATAACATCGTTTACACTAGAATTATATTTTTTTAATTACTACTAGTTATTAATAATACTTATAAAAGCGGATACTCCGTTTGAAACTATGTCACCTCAGTGAAATTGGTTGACGCCATTGTACTGGTTTTTGAATTATCATGTAACAAAAAAGAAGCAGAAGAAAGATGAAGAACAAGAAGTTCAAACTTTTTGCTATGATATTTACAGACATTCGCAGAACCTTGTGAGTCGGTCATTATATAGATTTTGTTATAAAAGGAAATACTGTATAGTATTGTAAAGTTCTGATGACCTATTGAAGAGATATTTAAAATACCATTTCGATAAACAACTCCTGCCATCACTACATAGGCAGTGCTGCCACCTGCCTGATATAAGTTTAAGATTTCCTCAACTTGAATTAACTTTTCGATACAAAACAATAGCTCATTATAAAATGGATTTGGTAGCTGGTTATAAAGATTCGTAAAGGTAAGGTAAAGGAACTAAGACGTTACCATGATTTTAATCATATCTTGAACCACATTACCACTCTAACAGTGAAAATATTCCGTAGAAAACACGTCCCCATAGTTCCTATCCGACGGAGAATCTCTGACTAACTTCGCCACTTTCCCTAAGTTTTGCTTCCTATTTACAGCCATCATAGCTGAATTGTAACTTAGTGAAAGGACAGTTTTATTGTTTGTTTGTTTTAGTACAACGCTACACAATAGTCTATCTGCGCTCTGTCCATTACAAGGAATCAAACCTTGAATTTTAGCATTGTAAATCTGTAAGCTTAGCGCTGACCCACTGTGGAACAGAACAGTTGTAACTACTTTTTAGTATTAACATGTGTAAGTGCATGATGTTTTAAAGCTGACTAGCTATTTTCTATACATCTTTTCCTTAAATGTGTACTCCTTACATCTGATTAGATAGTAATTTTATTAATAAAAGTACATTTCTAGTTATTAATGGGTTCCTTTTTAAATTAAATGCATATACAACATTCAATATGAATTATGTATGAATTGCTTTATTGCAAAATTATGTAAATGTTTTCATTTAAATAATATCGACATCTAAAAATAGCTTATAGAAATGGTATCTTGGTGTTTGGATCTATTGGTCTAGATGTCTAAGTCTGATTGGTTTACCTTGTCAGACAAAGAACTATCCCTGGAACTAATCCCAATCACAGGAATGTTGTAGAAACCGCACGTGTAGGATACAGCGGCTGGAGAAAGCTCTCCATTGTTAGGATGGCTGATTATGACAGCATAAACCTGCAAAACAGTTATAGATTAAACAGGGTTATTTCTTTAGATGACTGATACACTTTTAAAACTATAACGAGCAAACTGAAAAAAACCACAACCAACAGGTTGTACGTTAGAAACATGACTGTTAAACTAAAATATTTAAAACTATTTTTTTGTAATTACGATATCTAAGAATATGGGTAGACTCATAACTATTAAATGTGGAAAGTTACACCTAGAATCATATCATACATTACTTTCACACAGCATTTCAAACACAGACATAGGCAGCGAGTTCTATCTTCTTTGGACTTTTTTATGAAGGTTCTAGTAGGGCCTGCCATAACCTGGTGGTTAAGGCGCTTGACTCGTAATCTGAGGGTCACGGGTTCGAATCTCCGTCACCGAACATGCTCGCCCTTTCAGCTGTGGGGCATTATAATGTTACGGTTAATCCTACTATTCACTGGTAAAAGAATAGGTCAAGGGCTGGCGGTGGGTGGTGTTGACTAGCTACCTAGTATCACTGCTAAATTATGGACGCTAGCGCAGATAGCCTTCGTGTGGCTTTGCGCGAAGTTCAAAACAATCCAAACCAAGGTTCTAGTAATTATAAAATATTTCTTACTTGTTTGGTATTTGTGTCTTTATTCTCATATTTTCTTTTGAACTATTTGGCTGGATGAATTTGCCTACCATATCTCCTTACTATTTTGAATATATCTGGTTAAATAACATTTAATTCTTATTTCTTAGGTTGAAATATTTAAGAAAGTTTATCTAAGGGATCTGGTATCTTTGTTATAACTATGCTCATGAATAAATACATCAGAACTTGGCTAATCTGCACCTCATTTATCCGCATCCCAGTTTCATGGACAAACCTTTCATGACAGATGTGTTAAAGAAAGGATTGCCCATATATATGTGAATTTCATACAATATAACAAACAAATCCATAACATAAATGGTGAAGCTTTATAACTGCTGCTGACAACAGTTACAGGCGTCTAGTTATTTTATGTGCTTGTGTTTTTTTACAGAAACCAAGGTGAAGCTGTAAAATCTGGTTGTGGTGATGGTGTAGATATACCGTAGAAGTCTGTAGACAAGACCATGTTGAGGCTTGTAGACAAAGAAAATGTCCTTACAGAGCAACAATGAAAACCTACAACTGAGCACCAACCAGGAAGGACCTTGCTAGGTTACAAACGGGACTCTTTGTGCTCTCTGCCAGAAAACAGACTGATGAGAAACTTGTATGTCCAGCAAACAGTACAAGGCAAAGTTATGGTTCTGGATACGAGACTATATCCAGAAATCTCTCAAAATGTCTGATGGGAAAACTAGTTCCAGGTGATATGCATGAATTAGATGCATTCTACCACGACAAATGTTTGGTAGACTTGTACAACAGAGCAAGAGGACAAAAGAGGATATAAGTTAAGGAGGACATGAGTGGGCAGAAGGTATTGCTCTGGCTGAATTATCATCTTATATTGAAGAGACGATGAGATAGCACCTTCGTTTAAATTTTCAGATTTAGTGAATATGTATGCTTCCCTTCTACTGTGCTGTAAACTGTCACCAGGAGAAGTTCATGTTTTCAGTGAAACTATATGCTTCCCGTCTACTGTGCTGCAACTTGTCACCAGGAGTAGTTCATGTTTTTGTAAGAGGCTTGATTTCTAGAAATGAGTCTATATACATGTAGTCAGAGAATTATGTATCCGTTTGTACAAGTTGATTAAGTGTTTTCTATTCATACGTTAAGTACATATTAGTATATATAGGGACTGTTTTTTTAAGTAGTACATAAGTTGAATTCATCTTGAAAAAAGTACTTGCCCATGTTTACTTGCATATCGTGTTTTAAAAAACAATTAGCTAAACTTCTTGTAGTCAACATTCATTTTCACGCGATAAAAGTATACACAAACGTATTCGTGTATAGCTACATACATCGATCTTTTAATAATGTCATAATCTACCAAGCAATAAAATCATAATTTTTTTTTCAGTAATACATATGATGTGATGTTTTACTATGACTTAGACGGTGAACTCAGATAAGTGAAATTTCAATCAGCCAAGGCCAGCTCTACAGACGTTAGGAATTCGAACGCAATTTAAAGTCTCCTAAATCGTTATCAAATAACTTGAACATGTTGAATAAACTATTTTAAATATTTGAAACTGAAAATAAATGACATATTCATTATTAAAAATAAAATTAAGGTTTTTATAAGCAGAATCTCAAATGGGTCTTGATTTATATATATATGTTCATATGAAAAACTACAAATGTACCAAATTTCATGCTTCTATCCAGATTTGAACAATTCTGAACTTATCCGCTGGACTAATAAAGTTAATAAGCAAAACCTTACAGATTAGGAAAAAAACATTTTATACTTTTTATATATTCTTATATTATTCTAAAATGATAAGCAACCCACGCAAAATATTACTTCATTACAGAATCATCTGGAAACTAAGTCAAAGAATATACTATCGAGAATCGGCCATATGCTCGTTGGCTTTAATTCTATCAGGAAAAGATAAACAGGTGGTGTGCTTTCGTTTGTTCTTTGGTGAGGCCACTATAGAAGTTTTAATTGTTTTTTTCAATACCCTCAGACTCTTGACTGGTTTCCGTGAATAAGTCACTTATAATTTATTAAATCAAATAAAAATTAATCAGAACTGAGTTTGTTTTATGAAGCTTTGAAATTAAAGTAAAAAAATCTTATTTAATCGTGAAATATCCTTCTCGATCTACTCTATATTAATTTGTAAAACTATTAGTCAACATTAGTTACAATCAATACTCAAGAAAGATTAGTAAATCACACAAGTGTTATTAGAAACTATTTTCATAAAGGCGAGTTGTGTGTCATTAAATTATCACGATGGAATAAGAATGCAAAGCCACTGTATAGAACAATCAAAAATCGTCACATTTTTAAAAAGAAATATCGCTGCGTTGAATAGTAAATATTTGCTTGTATCAACAGATAAATACAAAGACCTAGATTACGTAGAATTACATAGTTTTATACTATGTTTAATTATCTAGTTTTCCAATAAGCTAAAGACACCCTCAGCAAAAGGTCTAAAATGCCTTCCACTTCAAGAACAGAGGCCAAAACCAGTCCTCATAGACTTCCAGCCCTACTCCTATTCTAATGTTTTTGCCAAAAACATGGTAGTCGGTAAACAACGAAAATTAAAATCTAGAGCATGTTACATACACATAAGCTGACTTATGTTTAGAGAAACTGAGTTTGTATACCGAAAACATTTTCCGGGATATGTCGATCAATTATTGGACGTGACATTCCATATATATATATATATCCTGAGTAAGCTGCAAAGGATTGGCAATGTTTTTCTTGCCCAATGTTTCATAAATTACCTAATCCAGAATTCTAAATACTGTCCCTGTGTTATTGTTTTCTCTTATTACTTGTCTTTCCTTGGCTAAATGGTAAACTTCGGAGCTTATAATGCTAAAATCCAGTGTTTGAGTCTCTAAGGTGAACACAATTCAAACAGTTAATTGTGTAGTGTT